TTGGAGCATCGCTGGATCAATGGTGCCAAGCTAAAAGAAGACTATATAAATATTGAGAAATAAATCGCAATTTTATCGGTCAGCCCTTGTATAGCATATTGAGTTGTTCCAAACCCAACTGATTGATGCATTGAAAAACATAATGAAATTAATTCAATAAAACTTTAGCTTTGATGAGCAATGAGACCATGGAATTACTTGACGATGAACGGCAAAATCATTCGAGAGCCATGAAACTTTATTTCTTCACCAAAAATTTATTGTTTTGTCCTACCTACCTGCCAAAATCGATGGCATATATAGATATATATATACATACAAAATTTTTTTTTGCAAACAAAAATTCAATGGAAATCGATGAATTATAGATAGATGGATAAAAAGTAAATCTGAAAATCTCTAAAAAAAAAATCTGCACCTTATTCGAAAAAATTCTTGGTTCTCTAAAACTAAAGAAAGATGTCATTAACTGACCACCCAGATCTTCAAATTGACTTTCCTTAACACATTTTATTTTGAAAGGACAAGTGTATGAATCTTAAACTCAATGGCAATGAATCAGCTCTTCGGTCTGGGATGAATTTTATGAGACTAATGGTGTCGTAAAGAGACTAATTGTACCATTTTGTACCGGAAGGTTACGAAAAGAGACTAGCCGTTTTAACCTTTTCTGGACTAGTAAGTACATATTTCTCTTTGAACGGGCACGGTAGGAGATTTGCCTTGAACAATAATAATAATCCATGACAAATTTCGTGAAATCAGCTTGTCAAATAAAAAAGATTTCTATACAAGGACTTGATTTTGATCGGATAGTTTTTATGGCATATATATGCTATAGTGACCTGACATCGTCGGGAGAAAAGTACGTGAGCAAAATGCCAGATTAAACTCTAGTCCTACACGTTTACTGCTATATTGATATGATTCTATTGTACCATTATTATTCGTACTTAATAATAATTATGCTTGAACTGAATATATTTATCTACAAATATACATACACACTTGCTATTAGTCACATTTCAAAGACCGAAGACAAAAAAGTTTAAGTTTTAATTCAATTAAAAATACTTAGGGCCGTTTTCTCAATGTCTGTCTGGTTAACAACCATCTGTCTGTCAGTTAAGTTCTGGTTAACACAACCAAGGCTCCTTCCTTTAGTCACATAAGCAAACTCTTAAGACTTTAATGTATGTATATTCATGTTATAAATAAATAATATATGTTTGTATATGTGCTTAGGCGATTTCGGGTATTTTCAGCGTGTCATTGTTATAAAGAGTAGCTGTAATTATTAAGAGGGTCAGTAATGGTAATATGCGAATTAGTAAATGCATTACTTACAGTTTTAACTGTGGAGCACAAAATCTTCTTATTTTATTTTTTATCTATTAATTTTTATTATTTTTTTACTATTCTCCAATTTTAGCTCTTTTCACATGTCTTGACCGCCAATTAAATCAGCTAAGCTGAAAACAATAGAAAAATAATCGGTGTACTCCTATGTATGTATGTACATATATACATATGTGTGTGTGTGTAATTGTAATAAAAGCCGAAATAACATAACTTTTGTGCGGCGAGTGAAGCACTTGTTGCCCTTGTGGCGTTTGGCGTGGAAGAAGAGGTCAGTAGCTGTTCTTTAATACCATAAATATATATGTACATATGAGTATATGTGCAGCGTACCAAAAGTGACGGATTTTCATTTAGACATCACATTTCGGATTTGTAGCAACCTTAATAGCAAATCTTGCGAATTCTAATTAAATTTTCATACTTATGGTAATCCAGCACGTACATACATACTAATATTTATATATATATATATTATATCTATATACATATATATGTATGTATATACTTTGTAGTATTCAATATTATAAAGTTGTCATTAGTTTTAGGAACTCTTGCTTAATATTTAACAACAAAAATAAGAATTATTTATATATAAAGCCTGATATACCAAAACTATATGATTTTGAGGTGATCTTAAGCTATAAGATGATCTATAGATGACAAGAGAACTCAGGGTTGTCTCCGGCTAATGGCAGTGTTTCCAAAAGCGTTCCATATGGATAGGAATCTGGAAATTCTTCAAAAAAGCTTATACCTTAACCGAACTCTGGTCTCGTAAGACTCTCTGTAAGACCTTCGGATATAATTTCAAAATTCTCTACCATTTCATATTAAGAAGCAAGACCTATCTAGTGCGTTCAAAAATGGCTAACTTTGATCATTTATTTCGAAAGTAAGGAAAAAATAATTGAATTTTTCTCTTTGAGACTTTATTAAGCAAGCATTTGATTGTACAAAAAATATTGACATTTTGTTTCAAAATTGCGGCTACTAAAAAAATATTCGGAGAAAACTTTTTCAAAAACGCCTCGATTTAAGACTCTGTTTCTTGGAAGCCATGCTACCTGAAACAAAATAAAAAACGGAATCTTAATCTACATAAAATTTAGCTGCTGAACTGACCTAACCGAACGATTCGACAATCCGATCCAAACCGAATAATGATTTCAGGAACCTTAAAGTGTTGTTCAAGCCGTAAAAAGTAGACTTTTCAAAACTCCAACAATTTTTTTTTTTATGAAAAAGTGCTGTCCCCTGAAACCCGAGTCAATCAATTAATTCAACTTTTTGTGACTTTTTTGATTTATCTACATTAACATGGAGCAATGGGAGTGACACCGGCCACTTTTAAATGAAATATCATAGCTCAGAAGTCACTCGACCAATCTTTGTCTAATTCGCTAAATAAAATTTCCATGACATCTTTGTTAGACAGTTTAAAAATGAGCGAAATTAATTCTCACTAAAAAATTAAAACTTTTCAAGCCTCCAAATATCAAATATAATGATATCAGTGCATATGACTGACTTGGTAACGAAAATATTGGTCATTTATTCAGGCACTAATGGGACTTTTTGCAAAAATCCATAATATGGTACATAGGCGTGGTTAATATCCGTTTTCTGTCATTTTCCAAGGACATGATTTGATGAATTGTAATTTGCCCACGAAGTATTCTTGGAATAGTTGCAAGTTCTTTGTAAGACAGGAATGTTGAATATGACCTTTCGTCTACCATATGGTATAGATGTATTCTAGAAAAACGCCCAGGAAAAGGCTAAAGTCCGACTCAAGTTGTCAATTATATTAAACGATGAACTTTTATTTTAACATACATAGATCTTTATCTATACCAGTTATTCTAAGAAGTGTCTAGCAATGAATATGAATGAATAGAATTGCTTGCTATTTACTATTTTACTTTATCTGACACAAAACTGAAATTTCAAACCGACCGATGTTCTCTGTTGAATTTAATAAACGGAAATAAAGAGAAATAACAGCAACAACTCATTAAACCGATTATGACTCTAGAATAACCACATATGTATCTCAATAACATTTTCTTTATGAAAACTCAGCGACAAAGTGAATATAAACAATGTCCATTAAAGGTGTCTTGAGACGTAAGAACTAAGAGACAAAGAGGCAAAAGGTATGCGAGAGCCACTATAAAACTTGCACTATTAAAAAAGGAATCAAAGGGAAATTAAATTAAAATTAAAATAAACTATTGTAATAATATCAGCTAATAAAATACTATCGACCAAAAAGACAACAAGCATTTTTCAAATAACACGCTTTTGAATTTCGCTATTATCGCTCTTTGATTAAACGGGGGTAATCAAAGTCGAAACGATTGCATTTACGTGTACTAAATTATTCGGCTGGCAATAAGGAAGCTACGGTCGATAACTTATTTTGCTAATTTCATTGTTACAATGCGCGTTGAAAATAAATTGCAATTTTGTGCGAAAATATGTTTTTCGGGGTATTGAGTCAAGCCAAATAGCTGGGCAGATTTAATATTTTTAAAGTTATTGATGTTAGTGTCCGTAGGCTTGTGCGCACGTGCACGATATTGGTTTCTTAATAAGGGATCTGCGATCTAAGCAAGCAAGTTATTTGACAACATATACAAGGCTTCGAATAATATTATCTAGCTTACTAGCCCACCTTCGAGCAAGCTTATCCGTCCTTTCTAGACAGACCGGACAGCGAAATACTTTTCGCCTTTTTTAATAACTTTTCGATGTGTAAAAAATGGCAAGCAATAAATTTGCAAAATTCTGCATAAAGATGGTCCGAGTAAAATACTGTTAAGCATTTGAGCTCATGGGAGTTAATAAAAGTTAAACCGGTGACACTGGAAAGACCCTTGTCTTCGACAACAATGAATAACGAAAATCCAGTATATCTCTTTTGCACTGAGTAAATATTTTTTTTTTGTTTTAATTTTCAGATTTCAGAAATGACTACTTTCCTAACATTGTAAATGTTGCAATAGCCTTAGAGACCCTACTTTATCAAGTGTTTATGGCTTATTGGCCAAGACAAGGGTACAATCGAAATTGATCTGATCGGAGCATTATAACATATAGTTACCATACAAACGAACCGATCCAAATACAATTTTTGTATAGAACCTTTTGTATATGTGAAGCATGTAGGTGCAAGCGAAGTTGACGTTTTTCTTGATTTTTTTCTCAGAATATCGAAACAATGTATTTTTATTTTCCTATTAACCGCTAGATGACGCTGTAAATCTCTCAAAGTATTTCCAACAATCATAGCTGGTGTACAGCAGATGGCACGCTGTATTAACATCCGGTAAAGTAGTTAATCATAAAAATATAATTAACTATATGATAAACATTTTTAATATCATGTTTTATTGTTGTTCTTCTCTCATTTCTATGAATTTATATTTTTATATATATTTATATTGTTTTAACATATTTGAGAACTTTATAAAACAATAATTACTGTAAAATTATTAGCATTGGTTTGGTATTAAATTTTAAAAATAAAAACTTTTTTTTTAAACCTATTAAACAATATAACAAAAATATATATCTGCACTAAACTATTTAACACAACTCATAAATAACGGTTCTTATGTAGACTTTCGCGCCAATGCCTTGGTATGCCAGTCAGCGGCACTTTGGTAGCGATCAATGATCTTTAGTCAATTTCGGCATTAACGCGCTAATGCGCGGCAATAATTGTGTCGATCCGAACGAAAACGTGTTAAGTGTAAAATTTATGTGTTAAAAATTTGTAAAAATTCAAAATTTGTTTTATAAATGTAAATAAAATATAAAAGTGACTGAAAAACAAAATTAAAATATTAAAAAATTATTTATTAAAATAGAAGTAAAGTGTGTTAATTCGCGGCTTAGTAAAGCTGCGTGTTTAAATCGTTCGTTTTCAAGGCAATCAATGTAAGTTTTCAATAAATTTTTATTAAATGAAATAAGCAAGAATTTTATATAAAACATATTTTTGTCAAGCAAACAAAAAAATTATTAATTAAAATCAAAATTACTAAAATGATTTCAATGTCTGATTGACTAACCTCACTTTTTCATGAAACCAGAAATTTTCCATGTGAGCTCGTTCGTTTACTGCTCTTTGCTCTTCTTCCACCATTCTTCTATTATAAGCTACTTAGTCAGCCTTTCCTTTTCAAATCACCTTCTTTCTTTCCCATTTTTTAATCACCTTTCACACTTTATTATCCTATGCTTTAGGGCAAAAGCCTTTCATTTACCGTTACAAAATGTGCGCAAGAAGCTACAGCCAAGCGTCGCAGCGTCCAACTGTGCCGTCATTGTTGTTGTGGTCATATTAATTTTCATGCCGCCATTTTTCGCACGTGTCTCAGCCTTCCAAATCTGCGACGCCGATCACTTCGAGTGCCGCGACGGAAGTTGCATCTTACAGGAGAAGATGTGTGATGGACGTCATGATTGTCCGGACCACTCGGACGAAATGAACTGTGGTAAACACTCGACTAAAGTGACAGCGACCATATTTAAATACAGTAAATTGTTACACTAACTTTCCGAACTCTACCCTCTCTACAGAAATGAAGATGTGCCGCAAGCCGGATTGGTTTCAGTGCGCCAAGCCCAATGGACCCTGCCTGTCGTCAGAATTAATTTGTAACGGTATCGAGAATTGTCCGGGTGGCGAAGATGAATTGGACTGCGTTAGCTCGTCTAGTTCCTGGGGCAGCGGCGGTGGAAAGGATATTGCGAAGAGCGGCGATATCGGCACTGGCGGTTGGTATACGAAAAGGAACTGCAGCGCCTTCGAGTACACTTGTCACACGGATAAAACTTGCATACCGCTGGACTTTATGTGCGACGGCAAGAGCGACTGTCACGATCGTTCCGATGAGGAGGATGGCTGTGAGCGTGCCAGAAAAAGTTGTCAAGGCTTCTTTTGCGATAATAAGAAATGTTTGGAGAGCAAGAAATGGGTCTGCGATGGCGTTGATGATTGCGGTGATGGCAGTGATGAACGCAAGTGCGGTAAGACACAGCTTTTCTTATATTCTAATATAGTTGGTACATATAAACATCGTGTAATCTAGGCGTGAACTGCACATTGGAGCAGGGTAGCTACCTATGCCGTGACAATTCCAGCTGCTTAAACATCGATGCAGCCTGCAATGGCAAGATGGACTGCGCGGACGGCAGTGATGAGTCGCCTCTTTGCTCATCCACCAGCAACAATTGCAGCACGAAAGCTTGCCCGCCAGCAGCGATCTGTAAAATGCTACCTGAACAGGGTGCTCAATGCATTTGTCCCAAGGGTTATCGCATGTCAATGCTAGAGAACGCATGTAGAGATATCGATGAATGTCTGGAGATCCATGGCTTGTGCTCACAGGGTTGTCAGAATATGCGCGGCTCATATCATTGCACCTGTGATGTGGGTTATGTGCTGAAGGCGGATAATCACACCTGTGTGGCGTACGGTGGCGACCCATTGCTGCTCTACACGACACAAATGGCTGTAATGGGTGTACATTTACGCGATAAATTAGTATATGCGGTGGCAAAGAATTTAACCAAAGTGATCGGTGTATCCTTTGATGGTCAAAGTATATATTGGACGAATATACAGAATGAGGCGGAGAGTATTGTGAAGGCGAACGCCGATGGGACAAATCAGGAGATTCTACTCACTGCGGGCTTGGATGCACCAGAAGACTTGGCGGTCGATTGGCTGACAGGTGGGTAAAGCAGAAGGAGTAAGTGCTTAATATTGCTTGCCAATGCCCTATACCCTATACAAAAGAAAAATATTTAGAAGGTATCTTTGACAAAACAAAAAGAAATATAATTCCAATTTCATATGTTTCGACTAGTTTTAGGCAAACATGTAGTTCCTTCACACGGTCTGTGGCTACACCTTAGTCTTTAGTAAGTTACCAACTTCTTGTAATGGTTTTATAAATTAGTCGACCGCAATAGAAACCCCGAAAGGTTCATTAGGTAATTGTGATCATAGTATCGATAGTTTTCGTTTTTTATGTCACGAAACCACGGTTCCAAACCAGAAGCCTCCTTGGCAACTCCATATATTTTGATAAATTCTCGACTTTCAATTGTTTTGTCGAAACCAAAGCTCATCTAATTCATACTTGTATGCAATCTAGACGACCCCCATTCTTGCCGCACTACTTCTCCTTCATATATATATTATATATATTTACATCTCTAAAACACGCCTTGTATGTTCCATAGACAATATTTACTTCTCGGACAACACGATGCATCACATTGCGGTCTGTACCAATGATGGTCTCTATTGTGCGGCGCTCGTCACCGTCGATGTGCATCAACCGCGCGGTATAGCGCTCTGGCCGCAGCGTGGACAAATGTTCTGGACGGATTGGGGTCTGAAGCCGATGATAGCGCGCGCATCAATGGATGGTAGCAACTCACTGCCACTAGTCACCGAGAACATACACTGGCCCAACGGCATCGCCTTAGATATGCATAATAATCGTATCTACTGGGTGGATGCCAAGTTGGCGACCATGGAGAGTACGCGGTCCGATGGCACCGATAGGCGTCGCATACTCGACGGTATAATGAAACATCCTTATGGTTTAGCAGTCTTTGAAGACAACTTATATTGGTCGGATTGGGGTACGAAAAGTGTACATAAGTGCAATAAGTTCACCGGCAAGGGGCATCAAGTGGTTACCAAAGATCGTACCATCTACGCGTTGCACATTTATCACAGCGCCAAACAGCCGAAGACCGATCATGCATGCATGCGTCTTCATTGCTCTCATCTGTGTTTGCTCGCTGAAAACGAGAGCGCAACGTGCGCCTGCCCCGATGGCATGCAGTTGGGTGCCGATCATTCGCGTTGCATGAAAATACACCAGAAACAACGTCTCTTCATTGGTGTAATGAATTCTTTGCTCGAAATGGAGCATACGAAGTTTGGCCGCCATACTATACTACAGACTCACCAGTTACCGATCTATATCAGCGAGATGGCGTACAATAATGTCAATGAGAAGATTATTATAGCAGATAATGTGCATCACACCATCTATCAGTTTGATTTGTTGACCAACAACATATCAGTGCTGACGAAAGAGAACATCGGAAACATAACGTCCATTGGTTTTGGTGAGTATCTGTAGAGTTAGAGAATCTTAGAGACTTATATCTATACCTTTCCACCCGCAGATCACTTGTCACACAATGTATACTGGGCCGATGCTGAACGTCATGTGGTGGAAGTATACTCTCTGCAGACACATCAACGTGCAATGGTCAGCTTTTTCGCCGGCTTGCAAGTCCCAATAGCGCTAGCTGTGATACCAGAGGAGGGGTAAGTTCTCCAAGGCTTTACACATACCTCAGCATCCCACCGTGGGGATTCGAACAAAGTATTCATCTAACATATAAATGTAATCTCATCACGACTCTGCTTTTAGCTCCATTACGTGCTTAGCCTGAAATTTATTTAGAAGAGAACAATATATAATATAATTAATTTAATTCTATCTTCTCTTCCAGCATCATGTTTGTCGCGTTACGCACGCGTAGGTATGTACACATCGATCAATTGCCGCTGGATGGTCGCGGTCCGCATACCCACGCATTTGAGGACGAGCTCGGCGATGATGATTTCAAGTTTACCACAGATTTCGAAACGAAAAGGCTTTACTGGTCCGATAGCGAGTTGGGTCGCATCTCCTATACCGACTACCGCAGTCTGCATGACATCACATTTCGTACACTGCTTAAACGTCCCTACTCACTGGCTTTAGTAGAAGATGACCTCTTTTGGACGGAGTTACGTTCGTCGGCAATACATTGGACGTCCAAAAATAATATGGGCGCGCTGAAGCTCATCGAAATTCAAGTAACCCGACCGGCTTATACACACGTATTACCCACGCGCATACCGCTATTAGCTAGTCGACCGGCCTCAATGCTGGATCATCCGTGTCAGCATAATAATGGCGGATGTTCGCATGTTTGTGTGACCGCTACAAAGTATGTCAGTGCATGTTTATGTCCGGCAGGTTTGGTCTTCCGCGATATGACCAACACTAGCTGTATAGAGGCGCTGGACTGTGAATTCCGCTGTCATTCGGGCGAGTGCTTGACACAATCGCGACGTTGTAATGGACGCAAGGACTGTCCGGATGGTTCAGATGAGTTGGGTTGTGATGCAGGTAGCACTAAATATCGCAAAGTGGTTTGTTCCATTGGCGATTTCGCTTGTCATGATGGTACACAGTGCATTAGTATGGAACGTCGTTGCGACGGCACTAAAAACTGTCGTGATGAATCGGATGAAACGCATTGTGAAAAATTCGGTTGGTACTTTTGAAAGGTGCTCGGTCAGCAGATTACCAGCAATAAAATTCCCATTTTCGTCTCTTTGCAGATAAGGACAAACGTTGCCATGAACATCAGCATGCTTGCGATAATGGCAATTGCGTGGATCAGAGCGTTATGTGCGATGGCTTCGATGATTGCGGCGATCGCTCGGATGAGTTGAACTGCAAATCGAATCCCACGCAAACGACTGGGGATCTACCGGTATGTCCAGCGAATATGTTCCAGTGCAACTCGGGCACCTGCATTGCTCAAAGCTGGGAATGTGATGGAAAACTAGATTGCACAGACGCTTCGGATGAGCACGAAAAATGTGGTAAGTACAAAGATTGTGTTTAATCATTGGATCGAGATATCCAAAAAATCGTGTTAAGTCGGATTGATCTACTAGCGTTTAGCTAAATGCAATTTTGAAAGTATAATTCGTCCTCAGTAGGAGAATTAGCCTCTATGCTCTTTCCATGTAGAATTTGTCCATAATTTTACACCATTTCCTCTTGTGCTCTAGGCATTAAAGAATGCCCCGCCGCTATGCACAAATGTATGTTGGGTCAATGCATCGATCGACGACTCGTTTGCGATGGACACAATGACTGTGGTGACTATTCGGATGAATTGAATTGTGACTTCGTGACTGGCAAGCAGCGTAATTTCACCTGTGGCACACCAAACCACCCAATGTACCAATGTTCGAGCGATACGAGTATTTGTCTTGAGTTAAGCAGTCGTTGCAATGGCACTACCGAATGTCCACGCGGTGAGGATGAGGAAAAGTGTGGAGTAGTTTGTAGCATATACGAATTCCAATGCAAGTCCAACGACGAATGTATACGTATGGAATTCCGTTGTGATCGCGACAAAGACTGCGCTGACGGCTCAGACGAAATGAACTGTGAACATTATAAAAATACTACCACCGGGTTTGGTTCGACAATGAGCAAACTGAATGAACGTGCATGTGGACCGAACATGTATGACTGCCGAGATGGACAATGTGTCGAAATGTCACGTGTTTGTAATGCTTTCGAAGACTGTGACTCGGGTGCCGATGAAGGACCACTCTGTGATACCGCCTGCAGTGCTGTGTCTAATCGGCCGATTTGTTCACACAAATGCCGTCCGACGCCGATGGGTGCAGTATGTTCCTGCTTTCCCGGTTATCGCTTGGATACAGATCAGCGCACGTGCTTAGATATTAACGAGTGTGAAGATGGTGAGCCATGCGCGCAGCTATGTGAGAATACGCTCGGCTCATACCATTGCAAATGCTATCCGGACTTTATGTTGCGACCCGACAAGACCACCTGCAAATCCATCGAAAGTCAGACATCACTCATGTTCACTACATATAACGAAGTGCGTAGCATGACAGAACAGCCCATCACATTGCGCGTCGCTTGGGCGGTGAACGACTCGAAGATCGCCGGCTTCGATTTGAATGTACACAAACGTATAGCTTACTTCACCACCGATGTCGAGGATGTGTTGTACAAAGTGGATATGGAGAAAGGTGTGGTTATGGCTGGCCTATATGTGCCGACACCCACAAAAGTTGCCGTTGACTGGATAACAGGTGAGCAATATATTAGGTAGGTACTAAGAATACGTAACATTTTCACACTTTCCTTTACCATCCCACAGATAACGTGTATGTCATCACGCGTGGATCGCAATACGGCATAAAGGTGTGTTCCTTCAGCGCCAAAATGTGCGGACTCATAGCACATGCCAATCCACGCGAAACCATACGGGCGCTCACTGTTGACGCGCTGAGTCGTCGTCTCTTCTATGTGACTGTACGTGCACAAGCATTTAGCGCACCCACTTCGTTGCTCATGATGTCCCACTTAGATGGCAAGCAAACTGTGACGCTGTTACTTAAAAGGGGTGGCTACATCACCGCCCTAGCTTGCGATCCCTACAAACGTCAACTCTACTTTGTTGACATGCATACAAAGACATTGCAAGCGTTGGATTACAAGACCGGCAGCAAACATATGCCACGTACAATCATTCAGAAGGGCAATGTCATCATGCATCCATCCGGTTTGACGGTCTATGAAAATCAAGCCTACATAGTGAACATCGGTTCGAAGGAGGCGGTGAATTGTCAACTCTTCGGTGTATATGACTGTAAAGCGTTCAATTTGAATATACTGAATGCTGAAGATGTTGTTGTCGATGGCGCTACACGTCAACCGCATGCTATAAATCCCTGCAACATGGCTAAATGTCATGGATTGTGCGTACAAGCCGACTACGGTTATGAGTGTATGTGTGGCGATAATATTGTGAGCGAACATGTGCGCTGTGCGAAAGAGTATACAAATGAGATCGTATCCAGCGCCCTGCTGGACTATAGTTCACACGCCGAGGAGCACACTTCGTCTACGCATACCGCAGTTACAATTATTTTGGTGTTTTTAATATTGGCCATGCTGTGCGCTGGTTTTGGGTACTTGTACTATCGTCGCTTCTCTCAGGGTCATCGCGATTTCAATATCAACCTGCATTTCCAGAATCCACTATCTGCATTCACTGGCGGCAGTGGAAAATCTGCAGGCAGCGTGCAGCAGCAAAGCGGCATCAGCAGCACAACCGCCTCTTTTGAGGGAGACATTCAGGGCTTCGGCGCGGATGGAGGGCACGAGAAACGGCAATACGTTCCGCCGATTTATCGATTTTTGCGCAAAAGCGGGAACAGTTCGCCATCGGGTGCGGAAATACTTCTCGAAGCGGCAGCGGTGAGTGGAGACTAAAAACTGATATTTATGCCTATGTATCTAAATTTCCAAAGAACCAGCTCATTTGGAGTAACGCAAAAATCGTCCTTTTGCCTCATGATTCGATCTCAAGGGTACAAAACCTGCTTAGATATTATAGAACTCTTCATTGATAGAACAGGTTATAATATTTTTATAAAGCCGATCGATAAAAAGAGGATTACACTTTGCATTTTAAAGAATATAGTACATACATTTATTTTCCATATATTCTTTCGGTATAACCCAAAGCTTATACTTGAATCTTAGTTCCACATAGCTTCATATTTCTCCGTCTGACAATCTATCACCACAGAAACTCTGGCAATCACTCAGACCATATATTTATACATTTTAGCACATGTATTCCAAAATGTTTTCTACTAAGGTAGACGATTTAGGCTCCGTCTTACCAACGGCTCAGTCTTTCAATATACGTCACATAAGATCGAAAGACTGAGCAGACTTTTACAACCAACTTTCTCCGATTAACGCTTAGCTGTTGGAACAAGTGTTACGTTTACCACAGAGGCAACTAGCAAGAACTGACATTCATTAATATTTACCTCAAAAATCTGAACTCCCAAATTACTTACGACAACTATAGTAGCTTCTCTTAGTGCTGATTGTAGCCAACATTAGTTGGTCCAAAATTGAAAATAATTTTCGAATACATTTTTTGAAGATGTTTTTAATAAATATATAGTGGCATTGACTTTTAATAGTGGTTTTCAGTAGTGGTTAGAATGAATTATTCACGAAATTTCTAGAAAAAAGTTTCTTCCATCAACATTTTTTTTTTCATTTTTTCATCCAGCCAACCGCCGAAACAGAAGGGTTTCCGCTACCTCAACGAACGCCCAGCGTCCAAATGGAGCGAGAACCTTTTTACGCCACCGCTGGTACAGTCCGAGTTCAGCATGGTGATGATGATGCCACAGCAGAACTTGTCGCCTAGATAAACGGAGCATTCGCCAACTGTCTCAAAATATTTCTATTTTAATTTTTTATAATGTTTTTTCTGGATTTTCTTGCAGAATCTACAAGCGATTTTGAATTATTCAGTTACCATACTGTTATCCACATATACTTTTTGCATGTTATTATTGTATTTATTTGTATTTATTTTTGTAAAAAATGTAGTTTGTAAATATTTTTTGCTAAGCTTTCTATGCTTGTTATTTTTGTAAGAATATTTATCGCTCAGCCTAATTAGTACAAATTATTAGTCATAGCAAAAATACAACAGTCAATTTCATACGATTAGGTGCACATAACTGTTGGTTGGTTGGTTGTTCGCTTTAAATTTGCTTTAAAATAATTTATGAACTCTTTTGTTGTTGTTTGTTGTGTTTTTGAAAAAATATTCGCTGTCCCTGAAATGTCTTTTGGAAAACAAGTTTCGAAAATGTAAAATGAAAAAAAAATATAAATAAAATAGCAGTAAAACGCAAAAATTTTCTAATAACTACTTTTTGCTGGAATGCAGTTTTAATTGAAAATATTACGAGTTTTATTAGTAATATAAATTTGTTATTTTTTTGAAATATTTAATTTGTAATATAGATATATATGTATAAGTATATATTTTTTTCCAATAAAAATCTTACATATTTTTGATTTAATTTTCAACTCTTTGAACAATTTTCTTTATATATACGATTAACTACTTTTTTTATAAATATTATACTTTAATTAAATATTTAATACATGCTTACAATACTATTTATTATATATAATATAAGACAAGTTATATTATATATCAGTATATATATATATCAATACTTACAGTTATATAACTAAATATTTAAAAAATTTTGAATATTCATAATTCTACACAGAATCTACACTTAAACTATGGCACCAATATTGATCTGGCTAAATAACTATACTATATATTAGAAGACAAACAAGCACACTTTTCTCCGCTAAAACTCTTAACTGACTACCCCACTTTTCTTAAGAAGAAAACCCCACAAGCAAACTCTTATGACGATTTAATGAGTCTTTGACGACTCTCAAACATCGTGCTCGTGCTCTTCTCGGCATCAGCGCCGACCATGAATGGCACATCACTGCCCTCCTTCACGAGCATGGCCAAACATTCGCGGAAAGCTTGCAGAAATTGATCGGCATTCTCCTGATTGAAACACATGGGTGGCTTTAGCTTGATCACATTGTCATTGGGGCCGTCGGAGGAGACAAGCACCTTATGTAGCGACTTCATGCGATTGACAACCCAATGCGCAGACTTGGTGTCCGGTTCGCGCGTTTCACGATTCTTCACCAATTCAATGCCCACAAATAGTCCCACGCCACGCACATCACCGATGATGTCGAACTCTTTGCTAAATTCGAGACATTTATTCAGCAAATAATCACCGACACTGCGTGCATTCTCCTGCAGACCCTCCTCCTCGATGACGCGCATTACAGCGTTAGCTATGGCACAAGAGACCGGATTACCACCATAGGTGTTGAAGTAGGCCACACCGGTAGCGTAGAAGGCATGCGCTATCTCTGGTGTGGTGACCACAGCGCCAACTGGGTGACCATTACCCATTGGCTTGGCGACCGTTACGATATCGGGCACAACATCTTGCATCTCAAAAGCCCAATAATGTGTGCCAACACGTCCAAAGCCGACTTGCACTTCATCGGCGATGGTGAGACCGCCGGCGTCATGCACAGCATCGTAGACCGCACGGAAATAACCAGCTGGTGGTATGATTTGACCGCCGCAGCTCTGTAAGCTTTCGGCGATGAAGGCGGCTACACCTTTACCTTGCGCTTGCAATTTCTTGCAGACCTCTACAATGGGTGCGCAATAGAGTTCAGCCATATCGGCGCCGGGATGCTCTTTGTCGACGTATTTGCCGCGATAGACGTCGGGGCAGGGCGCAACGTGCACATAATCGGGTTTTGGTTCACCGCCAGGTTGGTTGAATTTATACGGTGAGACCTCCATAACGGCGGTCAAGTGGCCATGGTAGGCACTGGAGGGAAAAGGAATATAAAGTTAGTAAAATTATGAAATATTTTCTTTACTTTTACCAAACTTACTGATCGAGCGTGATTACATCCCGTCGTTTGGTGTAGTTGCGCGCCAAACGCAAAGCCAAATCGTTAGCCTCCGAGCCGGAGTTGACAAAGAAACAGACCGACAGATCGCCGGGCATTTTGCTGGTCAACAGTTTAGCGCATTGCACGAGCTCGTCGTGTAGAAAACGATTATTCGTCGAGATTGTGGCCATTTGTAGGCTGCCAGCGCGTACAACTTTCGGATGGCAATGGCCGACTGGAATGAAAGAGAGAAGAGAGGAGTATGTAGGATTATTAAATGTCTTGAAGTAATCTAAGTTTCTTAAATGTAAATTCTACTAAAATTTATAAATAAATAAGTTTAGGTATTATTATCTTGGTGTACACTCGAAAATTTTAAAACAAAAAAATTAAGCGTTGCTACCTGTTGGAAAATTTTGGGTGGAAAAAATTTTACGATGATATAATGAGGAACCTATGGGTATCAAGCTTAAGAGGTTTCAATTGGAAATATCTTTTGTTTTAATTCAATCAAATATATAATACAAATATTTATTTTAACCAAACTATAGACGTTAAAAAAGGTATATTTCAAAAAAATTTTTGAGGAGTGCTACCACCTATTTAAAAATTTAATTTAATAAAATTTATAGGATAAGCAAATTTTTATTATGTACATACTTATGTACATACGTATCAAACTAAAAAGAAAACAATTTGAAAAAAATTAGCATAGTTGCCACTTGTTTCAAAATTTTATCAATTAAATTTAAAAAGAAAATTAGAGGGCGTTTTATATACCACATATTTTCGATTAAAAAATTTCAATAACAATATTAAAAATTATTTTCAATTTTCCATAACCAACAGCCCAGTGTGTAAAGACCCACTTTACCATTTTTAGCTTTTATAACTATTACTAATAACCTTCCATATCAGCTTCATATACTCGTACATACATATGTTACATATGATATCATAACTTACTACAGTTTGAAAACAATAATATCTGAGGACCTTTGAACAGCTGTATCAATAATACCTCTTCTAATAACCCCTAGAACGTGCTAGCGTAAGAAAAGCATGCGATCGCCATTATCAATTTGCTGCACACGATTTTCAAATATTTATTTACGTCAAGTATTTTTCCAAGCGCACACAGTTGAGTTCGCCTCTTTCCCGCCAATACCCCGCCGTGTTGATGATAACAACAACTTAATTAAGTTAGTAAATAAACAGCGCTGAATAACAACAAATAAATGCTCAGCAGCACATGCTATGCGCACAGCCACGATCGCTTGGTCACTCAAACGCTCGGATCGCATGAAAGCAAACAAGAAAATTTTCCAAATCTGAAAAAGTTCTCCCATGGATTACATGGATTTTTTTATTCTTGATATTTTATTTTTAGCAAAATGTATTCTGCATCGACCGATCATGAGCGCTGCGATCTATGCGCGGGCCCCCATTGTCGCCGCACTTTTCTGCCTATCTCATTCTCAAATCGCACACTCACTCCATACAAGCAAAATTCACTTTCAATTACCCCGACCATCACTGTATGGATTCCCGTAGCTACTTGTAGCGGGGCATAGCGTTCAGCGCCCCACGAGTCATGCCGAGCAACGCAATCGTGTGCTTTTCGTATGAACGCTTTGACTCGCGTGTTTTCTAGTGGCGCTGTCGCTGCCGGTTGCGGACTTCAGAAAACATGTGAACATCTCGTGTGGAAATATTAAACGACTGATAAGCTTAAAGCATATGTACATACATTTGTATAAATAGTTGTACAAATGTTTTCGAACTACTTAAACTCGTAAATAATACTCTAGTTGTGTTGTTTTCGTAATATGTGTTCGTAATAGACGATTTGTAATTTGCACAATTGTGAGTATTTGCACTGTTTACATTTGTTTGCTTACTTTTCAAACAGACTGTTAAGCTATTTTTACTATCAGCTGTTATTTAATGGAAATTTCTAAAGACTATTTCATGCTAAATAGATTTATTAAATAAGGCCTTTTTAAACACATTTATTTTAGGTTCTCTTCGTCAAAGTAGTGGTTTCTTCCCAAATAAGAGAACAATAACTTTATCCTCAATTTTAGATGTCACGTGATTTCTCTCTCTGCCTGGCTTGTCATCTTCGTTTCCAGTTTGTTTATAATGGTCAAACCACCTCTTCACAAATGTTCAACTCGTATTTTGCCACGAAGTTAGTAACACCCAGAAGGAAACGTCGGAGACCATATAAAGTATATATATAAATGATCACCGTGACGAGCTGAGTTGATTTAGCCATGTCCGTCTGTCTGTCCGTCCGTCTGTCCGTCCGTCTGTATATACGCGAACTAGTCCCTCAGTTTTTGAGATATCGATCTGATTCACCTGTACTTTTCTCACAAAGAAGCTGCTCATTTGTCGGAACCGCCGATTCGGATCACTATAGCATATAGCTGCCATACAAACTGAACAATCGGAATGAAGTGCTTGTATGGAAAACTCTTTCAGTTGACGAGGTATCTTCACGAAATTTGGCATGTATTATTATTTAAAGCATTAATCTAATCTCCGAAGAAATTGTATGGATCGGATGACTATAGCATAAAGCTGCCATATTAACTGAACGATCGGAGTAAAGTGCTTGCATGGAACATTTTTTTATTTGACGAGATATCTTCACGAAATTAGGCACGAGTTATTGCTTAAGGCAACAAATTATTCTCCACAGAAATTGGTCAGATCAGATCACTATATCATATAGCTGTCATACAAATTGAACGTTCGGAATCAAGTTCTTGTAAGGGGCCTTTGTTTTTGTGAAGGGTATTATAGCTTCGGCGCAACCGAAGTTAACGTTTTTTCTTGTTTAGTACTCCATTTGGGACCTTTAGGATGCTTCTTTAGAAAGTCTGCTTCAAAACGTTTCTTGAACATTACTTTTTCTCATGCCACGGCATGATGCGGCACATTAAGAAGTTTGAAAAAAAGTGGCCGAACTTTACGCGTTAGTAATCGCAATTGAATATGTGTTAATTTTCTAAAAAATAAAAACGATTTCCCCGAATTAATCACGCAAGGGAAAACGTTATTTTTTAGGGCACTGTAAATAAATGATTGGCATAACAAGCTGAGCCAATTTATGGTAGCCCTGACCGACATTCTGTATATACGGGAACTGGTCCCTTACTTTTTGAGATATCGATCTGAAATTTAACACACGTTCTTTTCTCCTCAAGAAGCTGCTCATTTGTCAAAACTGCCAATATCGGACCACCATAGCATATAGCTGTCATACTTTGTCTTCAAGCGAATAACTAGCCTATACCTATATGAGCCTACATGTAACTCAAGTCCAACCACCAGTAATCTGGTATCTTCTTCTCTTTCAACCAGCCTATTTTGAAATAAGCTGCCATTTTCTATTACTCCATATTTAGTTTCAATTTTCAATTTCAGTCCTTTTTTACACTATCAATGAAGGTAAGGTCTACCTGAAAATCATTTACCCATAATTTCCTTGCTTCCCCACACCTACTTTGCTATTCATAAGCATTAGCGATAAGTGCGCCTTCACAACATTTTAATCAGCTGTTGACGCAAATCGATAATAAATGTATATTTTTATTTATTAACCCTAACTAATTAGCCTAATAAGTAGTTTATAAAGTATGGTCTGTATTGCATTGCGTAACGTTTTACAAGTGGTCCCGACAGCTGCAATCTCAGTCAGCAATTGCACTTACAAATGTCGATTAGAGATATCACGCCAACACAAAGCGCCAAACGCAAACAACGGTTGATAACCCAAATGCGAATTGAACGCTTGATCACGTGAAGAAAGGCTGGCGCAGTGCAAATATAAATATCTACAATTGTGTGTGGGTGTCTGTGTGTCTTAAACTCATTGTACTAGCTCGCCATTATCGCCTTATAAATGTATGTATGTACATATTGATAAATTCTAACATAAGTCTGTCAAATGATAAAGCTCAAGAGATGTTGTTGTACTTAATTTTAGCACTCAAGGCGAACGGTGATCATATAAATTTGCTAACTGTAAATAAAGGTGAACTCAAGCGTGCAAATTAAAATGTATTTATGCGCGGGCACATAACTACAAACCTATATATGTATGTCTAATGTGCGCTATACACATGAGCTCACAGCTGAGCGCTGCGATCGTGCTAATAAACGACCTTCTACTCGCCGTAATCATTTCCAGCGCCGCTGTTGGCCCACATTTTAACCGCTTCGGCGCTTACAGCAAACAAGTTTCAGTGAATTTGACGCGATTACATTGAAATATATGTATACATACATATATGATATTTACAACAGATGTCTGTTGGACCCACCCCTCTGAAAGTGCTTAAACGACTGGAGGGTCACTTCGGCGACAACAACGCGCTCTTCACGTGAACCACACGCGATTACGAAGCGTGTAAGTGGCGCACATGCTTGCCTAGCATATAATTAATTTTACATACATACATATGTATCTATGTATGTATATGTAGTAGGTGTGTGTCGCGACGATCAGTGCTCGTGCCTACTGCTCGCCTAGCTAGTTCAATTTAGTGGCACTAATATTTTATTTGAGGTTGTCTGTTAAAAGCTCATATTTGTTTTTTGATAAGGAAATATTTATGCCATATGCACTTAAGTATATTTGAGGCACTCCAGTCGCTTTTATTAGAACGCAATTGTTTTATTGTTTTCACTCTGTTCTAACTACCAGTTGTGACCCTTGTGAAATGCGAAACGTGATTACTTCGCACTTAAATTGATAAGTCGCACCATTTATTTGCGCTATTTTTAAAATTTCCATGAGTTTGCTCATAAAAATAAATTGTAGATAAACGGCATGTTCTGAAATATTCTGATTCTGATTGCGTAGAATCCTTCAGATTCACGGCGTGCCACTAAATTATTTTTATTGTCATTGAAGTACATTTTTAGAGATCTGCTTTGCGTATTTGAATCAATTAGTTACATATGTACGTAAATACTTATGCCGCAAATGTGTATTATTTAATTTAAAATATAAAAATATTTCCACTAATATTTTGTAAAAAATTTATTTGCACTTTTTTGCGATAGACATTTATATTATTTATTTTTAGAATCAAAAAGTCTATTACGTAAAAGAAAAAGCGCGAGTTAGAGCACTTAAAATATCAAATTGATATGTATTACCAAATTCTCTAAATAACTTTACTAGCTCACTATAAATTAGAAAAACAAATATTATTATCATTAAGCAGGGCAATCAGCTAAGGCAATTAAATTGTTAATTAACTCACTGCCTTTTGTATTTTGTTCAAATGTACTTAATTTTGCTTAAACAATTAGTGTTTAAGAAGTGTTCAAAAAGTGTTTTGAATTCGTTTGCGAAATATTTCGTGTAAATAGTATGAAAGACAACTAAATTTTGATTCGAAGATTAAGTCACAACGAATCTGTTGAGTTCTTCTGTCAAAACAACCAATTTAAATGCAATCTGGTTTTTACAGAAACAAAGCAGAAAAATAAATTTTGGCATCCCCATAAAAAGGAATTATCATTCGCTCAAAATTTAAAGTCGCAAGCTGACACTGCTTGCGGCAAAATCACAAAACATTCTGATTTTCTGCTACAAGTTTTGATGACTTCTAGATAAACACTTTTCCCTGTCACTGTACTGAACATACTTTATTTTTTTGCATGTGTATTTCTATATGATCTTTTCGAAAATTAAATACCGATTCTGTAATTTAATGAATGTAGATAGGGTTAAATTGCTGAAAATATCTCAATTGTTCTATGAGAGGAAATTGATATCAATCGAGGGACAGGATTAGAATGAATATATTATATATACTAAACATATCGTACTTTTTTTTTTACAAAATTAATTGTTCTTTCAATCATTATTTATGCCCAGAGACAGGGTATCTAAGAGGTAATTGAGACTGCGGCTTTATGTAGTCAATTAGCAAATTGTACAATTGTAAAATATGAAATAACTTTATTTAATAAATTTTAATTAAATGTAATTATTATTTATTTAATTGTATTTATTTTAATTTTGAAAATAATATCATTATCAAATATCTAAAAAATTAAGTTTTCACTTTATCAATCGAAAAAATTAAATTTTTTTCTAACAAATGACTTTTAAAATTGAAAATAATTGACAAAAAGTGTTTAAAAGCAACAATTCACTAGTATTGAAAAAAAAAATTTTTTGAGGAGAAAATCAGTTAAGTACTTATTGTAAATTGTGTATTAAGTATAATGCATATTTTTTTACTAAATTTACTTTTTCTGTAAGCAAGGTTTCAACATTTTATAAGTTGAAAGTTGAAGTTGAAAGTGATGTTGAAAGATATTTAAATGTTATTACACCTTTTTTGTATGTAATATGCATATATGAATGCAAATATGTACACTTGTAATATATAATGATAACGAGCGACAAAAGTGTCCCCGTCTGAACGCCGTCTATGCAGCTGATTTTTCTTATAGATTTTACAGCTGCCAGCTGTCATTTCATGTTCTTGTTAGACACTAACCAAGGCACCTTCACTTGTCAAAGTTTACAAGAACTTAACTGACAGTCAGTTGCTAACCAGATATTAATAAAACCATTTTTGAACATGTTGCCGTTAAAGTTCTGGTTAAGCGCTTAACCGGACATTGAGAAAACGGCCCTTATTGTCACAAATTTGCTGTATTTAGATAAAGTTGATACATATTTGCATGCCTCCTTATACATACTTATATATTGTACATATTTTTACAACACGTGTAAATAAATTTACATAAACACAGAACCACTCAATGAATCGGTCAAAGCACGTGATCGCTCGCCCGTCGTTTGTTGTTCGACTGCTTCACAGTGGAATTATACCAAACGAGCATATCAATATTGACCGAAACAGTATATATTTGTACGTACGCTTCACAAATTCATATCAATTACTTATAAATATCACAAAATTTGTATTGTGTTTGTATTATGAGTGCAATGATATAAAAAGAGTAGCTCGAAAGTCAAAACCAAAGCATGAAGCTAAGCAAATATTTATTAAAGGCCATTCACACCACACATTTTCACGCTATGTGTGTACAAAACTACATAAAAACAATTATTTGTTTGTGTGCTTTATGATATTTTTTTTGATAAATATTTGTACAGTGGAATTTACCCATTTTTTGTAAGCAAAAAAAAAATTATAATTTGCGGCAGCAACAACAATCTTAAAGGAATATTTACGCTTGACACTTATGTAGTATATAGATAAATGAAAATGATATGTGTATGTACATATGTATATATTTTGTAACAGTTATAAAAACCTCACAAACAAAAGACTTGTTGCCATCGATCGCGTGAACGCATGCAAAGAATTCGCGTGTGGGCGTTGACACGCCGAAAATGTTTTTACGGATATTCTTTTTTACAGCACACAGACACATTTACACATATGTATACAGTATGTGTGGTTGCGTCAGTCGAAATAAAAACAAAAAAGTGTTGATCCACAGCTGTGTTGATCGCGCTCTGGTTTACCTGGGAACTTGCAGACGGACGGAAGATACACAAAAGGTATTTTTGTAGTTTGATAAATTTGCATACACGTGCTTATACTGTGTGTATGAACTTATACATACATATGTATGTGTGTAAGTGGAATAAAAACGTGCAGAAGCGAACAATATAGTAACTGCGGAAGACAATGTCGCTTTTATTCTGGAGTGGAAAAATATGTTAACTAATTTAGCGATATTTTTGCTGTTCTTTTCAAAATTTTTAAAAATATTTTTAAGGAAAATTTAAAGTGTTCTTACATTAGGAAAAAAATGCATGCACAGCTGAAGTGATATCTATTATCCCACACTGCATTGTTTTTGTGTTTGTAGTATTTGAAATGCACGATCTGTAAACATCTACACAAGCTGCCACTTGTTTATCAAATCTTATCAAATCAAAATAGGTACACTGCAGCCAGATGCGCAGTTTTCTTGGTAAATTGCCAGGTGTCAAGCCCCTAAGAAATATGAGGCGCTCATACGCACACAAACTCGTACATACATATGTATATATTTAAATGAATAGTTGCAGATTAGGTGCTGCTGCACCACAAAGACCTTGAATCAAAGTGACTTTGAGCAATGATATGCCATTAGCACCTGAAAAATTTATAGCATTTATACCAATTATTTAACAAAAAAACGATAACAAGCTTTATTTGGCTTCTATTTGTATGTATGTATGTATGTCGGTTTATTGACTGCATGTTAAGCATAAATCCGGCAATTTTTGACCTGAGATGGCTGTGATTGGGATTTTGTTGCGAGTAGTTAAGAATTGAGGTTAATCCGAAGATCAAATGCATTGTTGAAGAGGCTAGCTAATCAAATTGCTGACCTCACGTAGTCAAAAATACTATTATATTTTTATTCTGAAATATTTTTATAAAAATTTTCCCATCTATGTGATATAAAAATATATTATTCAAAACCTAAAAAATAAGTTTTATAGAGATTTTAGGTGATCTCGATCGATATTAATAATAAATATACTATATATAAAATATTTTCATATACCATATACATATAAGGTATATTCGATTGCAGAAAACCGTTCTTCTGAAGATCAAAATATTAAATTTTCCTGATCATTTATGGGAATATTGGAATATTGGCATTGCACAAAAAATCACAATTTATGTAATATCTTGATTACACTCCAGATTTTTCATTTGGTGGTGCACTGCTTTCGTATGAAAATTTTATTTCTCCAAGAGAGAATGTAAAAGATTTTTAGCAGAGATCATTGTTCGTAAACGTGCTACTAAATTTTAATTTTATATGAATCAAAACTAAATGAAAAAAATATGTATTAAAACTCAACAATAATTCTGCGGTCAATCAAAGATCAGCTTTTGTTTTCAAAATACTCATATAATAAAGCCAATCAAAAATAAACCCTGACGCGTAATCAACCAAATTGTATTATTATTATTTATAAGAAAACAAAAATAGTTTGCTTACAATAATAAAGTAGACACTTCACTTCATAGAATCGTGTTATTAGATTCGTAAAAAATTTAAAAATAGTTCAATCAAATTTAATCTCAATAAAAGCAATGAGTGATCACCAAGTGATAAAGGCCAAAAATTAGACAAATAATCGCAATTTAATTTTCTTTTCATTTAAATTGATGATATATTGCTTGATAAGCCTATCTAAAAAACATATCAGTCTGTTCGGCAGTTAATAATGATTAAAACGTTCAAAGGCATGCTTCGAGTTTAAAATTATAAATTAAATACGAGGTAATCTATGCGTTTGAATTGTAAAAAATATTTTAAAAAGAATCCAATTTCAATATGTTTAATTTTTTTTTTGTTGAAAATTGTAAATTTTTGCAAAACAAGAAACAGAAAATTCATTATTAAAAATTGTTTAATAAGCACAATAATTTTAAATTGTCTAACATCTCTATTGTGTAAGGGTACTGGTGTCTAGTTGCCGGTCTACTTGACTTAATTCATATTTGTTTAATTTCAGTAATTTTGTAATCTTATTTGCAACACTAATTTAATAATTTTCAAATATTTTCGGCTGAAAACTTACCGTGCGCCACATTATTGATGCAGTCCAAATAGCGATTGCCCATCTCATCGAACATGTACTGACCCTGACCACGTACAATTTTCAACGGGTCAGAACGATAGAATAGTTGGCAAGCTTGGCTGTTGTATGGAGCATAGTTAATTATCGAAATTAAGTAGTTTCACAGTTTTTTAGTGTTGAGTGGCGTTCAATTCAATTATTTTTCAATTTTTTAAAACGATGCAGTCATTTATTGGAAAATATATAGAAAAGCAAGAAAAAATAAAAAAACATTATTTGTGGCTGTTGCATTGTTTAAGAGAATATAAAGAATAACATAATTTTTATAAATATTATATTAAAAATATTAAACAATCGAAAAGATACTTCTGTGAAGTTAAAATAACTTAGCTTATATACGCTAATATATGCATACATAGTCATATATATACATATGTATGTATTTTTTTTAAAATAATATAAAGGATATATATGTATATATATATTTTAATTATAGCTGATGGCACTAAAAAGTGTACCGATCACGTGTTGTTTTAAAGCACTTGAAAGCGCCTTGATAGAAACAGCCATTGTTGTTAAAGCTCTCTGCTGGGGGCAATACCCGCACGGTCCCCTGTATTATTTACGTTTATGTGCCGTAAGCTTTGGACGCAATTCCGTTTATTATCATCTACAAATAATGCGACATAGCTGATAAGCCAAGCATATTGTTTGTTAGCACTGTACCAAATTAGCTTTGTTATTATTATTCAATGAATATTTTCTAAATTTATAACAAATAAAATTTTATTTTCTGAAAGAAGATATGTTTATTAGCGGATTTATTATAACCGAACTTTGCAAAAAAAACTCTAATATAAGAAATTTTTGAGGGTAAATAATTTAAATTTATGTTTTCGAAATCTGATTTTAATAAATATGAATTGATTAATTCTAAAGATAAATTTTTTAGTATTTTGCAATTTTCCGCAATTTTATAAAATATATGGAATTAAAAAAAAATTTAATTAAAAAATTAAAATTTTTAAGCAAAATTAAAAAGCTTTTAGCTTTTATAGTGCTACTAAGAATTATGCACAATGCCAACATTTAGTTCAACAACTGTAAAGGAGTAAGTAAATAAGTATCTACAAATATAATACAAGTACAATATATTATACATATGCTCAGCCGCAAAGGATGCCGCCAAAAGCTTAGATGAAAAATTACTCTCGATTGTTTTTGTGCCTGCTTCCAGGAGGATGCTTGTCGCCAAGCTGTGAGTGTGCGTCCACTTGACGTTTGCAGTACTTTTGGCGCCGCCGGTGACCTTGATAATGAAATTGCCAAGGCAACGACCTTGTGCCACGAATCGGCGTACGAAGTGAGTGTCATGCTTATGCACTTAAAAAGCACTTTCAAACATAACTGTATAGGTTTATATGTATTTACTTTGCTGTTTACTTTTGTCTGCCTGAACTTTTGTGTTTTAGTGTAGACAACAAACAAAGAGTTCTTTGAATTCGCTTTTAAAACGTTTTGCATTTTAATGAAAGTAAACGGATACCGCGGTTAATTGTAATTATATTTTAAGTGGCAGGTTCAAAAAGAGTAATTTAATTAAATAATTAATAAAACTAAAATATTTTAAAAATAAGTAAATAAATAAGAAATTATAAGAAAACTTAATTTTACCTAAATTATAAGAACATCATTTGTTAAAAACAAAAAAAATATTTTAAAAATTTTTAAAAATGAAAATGAACAAAAAATTACACTAAATTTTAGCTCGAAATTTAATTTAAAACTGAGGCCGCCTCTAAATGCTAAAATTTTCTTTTTTATAATCTACAGATTTTACCCTTAGGCTGAAAAAAAAAAATTTTTTTTCGCTCCACCCCAATGTACATATGTATATATGTATATAAATTATAAAACCCAATTACCCGATCTTACTTTAAGCTAAAAATTATATACATATGTACAACTATGATTATAAAATGTAACAAAAATGTTATGCCAAAAAATTATAAAAAATATTATTGTATAATAAGTGTAAAGTGAATTTTCTCATTTAAAATCTAAAATTCATTAAAAAAAATTCAACTGTAACAGAAATAAAAAAAAAACATTTTTCTAATTTATCATTATTCATTAAAAATTTAAAAATTTTTGAACAAAAATGATTTCAAGCGCAGGTTTTTGTGAAACTAAATTTTGAATTTAATGAAAATTAGGTTAAAAATATTAGAATTGTTAATCTAAAAAAATTATAAAAAATTTTAAAAGTTCGCTTTGGATTGAAAAAATTTTCCTAAAAAATCAAAATATTTTGAACATGCTTTCATTAATTTTAATCAGAATGAAAATTTAGTAAAAATATTTTAATTATTTTTCTTAAAAAGATATATTATAAAACATTTTTTAAACTAACTTTTGTGTATTAAAATATTTTTCTTTCAAAATTAAAATATTTTTTTATATTTTTTCATAAATTTATATTAGAATGAAAAGTAAGTCAAAATATCTCAATTATTTTTCTAAAAAATATTTATTATATTTGAAAAACATTTCAAAATTAATTTTTTTATCAAAATAATTCTTTAGAATCCAAAAAATTTTTTTTACATATATTTATTTTAAAATTAATTTTTTTATCAAAATAATTCTTTAGAATCAAAAAAATTTTTTTAAATATATTTATTTCAAAATATTTTTTAAATATATTTATTTCAAAATATTTTTTCCTAAAAAATTTTTTGGGTGTATAATATTAAAATTTATTTTTTATGCACAAAGTTTAATGACATAATTAACATTTTTAGAAAAAAAAACCGAGTATTGAGTTAAGAAATTTAAAATTTTTTTTCTATTTTTTTAGTTTTAAACACAACATTACTTAAGTAAGAAAAATATAAATATGTTTCTTAAAATTAATTAATTGTTATCACTTCGACACTTATGTATGTATGTTCATAACAAATTTATTAATGATACAAAATTATTCAAAATAATAAATTCTTAGTAGAAAATTATAACATACATTTTTTACTTGTAAAATTTTTTCGTCCTTACCCGATATGTTTGTTCCGCAATTTGATAGTGTCCGACTTGGACAACTTCTCGCTCATCGCCGATTCCAGTTGTTCGCGTGTGAAAGACATTTTTAAGGAACTTTTTTACTTAATTCACAACTTTTACGAAAACACTTAATAAATTCAATACAAAACACTGGATTTTACTTCCAAACAAAATAAATTGCTGTTAACGCGCTCACAGCCTGTCAACAACTGATTTTACAAAATTGCCGTTGCACCGAAGTCGTCAAAGTGACTCGCGTAATTTTCACACACTGTTACGTTAACATATGTATGTATGTAGTTGTAGAAGATATGAGTGTATTTGCCGCTAAATTGCTCTTGTCTTGTTCTTCTTCCGTTAGTGACACTTGTCCGCTGACGACGACACGCTCAGCTGCTTGGGTTTGCTTCTTGCCAGTGAATGTCGAAGGCGGTGCGCCCAGTCAGCGTTTTTATATGTGCCGCTGCCGTTAGCGCCAGATGGGCAGGCAGGCCCGGCTAGCCAGCGAGCGATAGGCGGCAAGCACTTAGCAAACGGGCGCGCAAACAAACCGACGACAGGCCCGGCTAGCGCGCGCTTTATTGCCAGCGAGCGTTCTGCATGCCTTTGTAATTGTGGGTGTGTGTGCTTGTTGTTGATGACTTGCTTTATTGCTGGTGTTTTGCTTGCACACCAAGTACTTCCCAGTTTTGCCGCTTATCCCGCCAATTATGATAGCGATGGCGTTGTGGACCTATGGCTTGGATTTTGAATATCACTACGTCGTACGTACACGGCGCCACGCTATGAGCTTTACAACGCACATGCAGTTGAGTCTATTGCCACTAGGATTTACTTGTGAGTTCTTTATTGTTGTTGCTTAAGTACTCAAATCTCGAAAAAAAATATGAGACCGACAGACGCTATTTGAAATAGCGTATATGTGATCTTATAAACTGCAATGAGCGTTTTGTGGAAAACTTTTTCACTTGACAAATTATCTTCATGAAATTTGGTATGGATTATTGTTCGAGGCAACGGTATAATCTCCAAAGAAATTGTTCAGATCGGACAACTATAGCATATAGCTGCTACTCAAACTGACCGATATCAATTCAAGATAAATATATTTGTATAACCTTTTATGTGATAAAAATGCAGCTGTGAAGGGTAAAATAACTTTAAATAACTTCGGTGCAGCCGAAGTTAACGCCTTTTCTTGTTATTCACTCAGTAAACAGCTGTTCGCACTGTTATTGTGACATCGATTTCGATTTTATTGCAACAATTTTCGGTTACAAAAAATCTACGCTGTACACAATGTGAAGCACGTCTGCATATCTACTACATATGAATGTATGTACACTGATTAATCAAGAAAGAAATTACACATACTTGTATTTGTGTATGTATGTAAGTGCGTTCGTTGATATGTATCTGCAAGCGGAAATTTTCGAAAACGTTATCTTTATCGGCGATTACTTTCGCCAGCTCTATAATAGCTTAAACACAATACGGGCGACAACGAATATTCGTCGTACTCGGCGAAGCCGTCGGTAACAAGAACACACGATTGTATATGAAGATGTACACAATACGCGACGGCGGCGAATTTCGCCACCATGACGATTATTGAGATAGAGCTATTTCCAATTTTATCGCCGACCGCGGCGGCAAAAACGACATCACCATATCAAAAGAAGATTATTTTCAGTAAAAATATTAAGGATTTTGTAAGAAAATGTCTGCGTTGACAATATTAAGATTGTTTATGTTTGGTTTCGTCATTTATTGTGATATTTCTGAGCGCTGAATATACACTAGCTGCGACGAAAATCGTCCATATTGTTTTTTACACGGCGGTAACACTCGGCGAAAATCCTACTAATTGCTACAGTCAGCTGTTAATTCCACAAGCTGAAAGCAGAGAATGTTAATGAATTAACATACGAATTATATTCATTCACATTTGATGCTAAATTTATCGTTTAAGACTTTAAAAAAATAATAATAACAACTACAACAACAATAATATCACAGTATAGTGATAATTATTGTAATTAAATGTAATAATAACAATAATAATAATATGAGTAAAGAAAATTTTTATAAACAATTGGAAAAACTATCACAAAAATAAATTTGTAAGAAGCTGAGAGTATATAAAGCAATACACATGGAAAATTATTTTAAGTCGCATATTGAAGTTTAAAGATGTAGATATGTATAGCGCATCACAATACAAGCTAAAATATTCTGTTAATAAAGGAGGTATAGGTGGGAGGTGATATTTAACAATTTCATTTTAAAAAAAGTTGTTGAATTTAAATTGCTTTTCCATACTATCGATACACTTAAAACAAAAATTAATTTTTTACTCTTTATGCATATAATATAGTATTTTCATCACGAATATCTGACATTTTTTTATTATCTGAGGAACTAAACAAAGGAAACTAAGAACTTCTGGAAGTAGCAAAATAATTGCTTACTCGTAGTAATTTTTAGAATTACGTGATCTATTCTTAAATTTTTCTGCTTCTGGACTAGGATACAATATAGTAATAAAAAAAAATCAGGGCTAAACTGTTTTTGCCTAGGTACAATGTGTCCAAATTTAAGAGGCACCCCTAGTGGTAAGCGATTTATGGGAATTAAAAAAAATCTGCTGTATCAATTATTTTAAAATTTAATAGTATTTTTATACATATCTAAAAAATACAGTAAAGTTTTGGCAGAAAACAATTTAATACTTTTCGAGTTTCACGCGGTCTCCGACGGCGCTAAGAAATAGGTCTTCTGCTGCTGCAGTGATTCCGGCCTTATCCGTTCTAAGGTTTAAAAAATCAAAAATTAGCAAAATGACCGTTTTTTAAAAATAGTTAAATTTTAAGTTTAAAGATGAGCTAGTGAAGCGGCTACACTTTAGAAGTCTAATATTTGAGATAAAGTTTTAGTATGTTATTTGTAAAGGTACAACCTATCGATTGTTTTTAAATTTGACACAGATGAAAAATTCAAAAAACTATTTGGAGAAGCTTAATACTGGTGTACAACAACAATTGGCTAATAAAATATAATATGATAACATGTAAATAGTAATAAGCTCTGCTCAACTTCATCTAAGAATCGTTACTTTGATAGCTTTGATCGAGAGTTGTTGTATAATCACTATTTTTAATCGACTAAAAATTATTTACTGAACACATACTACTAGTAAAAGGCTTTGAATGATGAAAGTGAGCATGTAATCTTAAATACTGAAATGAAATAGATCCCAATTTTGTTTTGAAATCAACTGAATAACTTTATTACTGATAAATTTGAATACAAGGGAATCACTAAAAACGAATCGAAAGACGAATCGAACGCAGACTTTATTATTATTCTTTAACATTAGGTGCGAAACTAAGTTCCTGCTGTTTTTTTTTTAATGAAAATGCAATTATATTGTATATAATATACAAATGAATGATTCGAAGTATTGCCCATCGTTAGTCACAGCTTTTTGCCAACGTTCAGGCAAAGCTCGAATACTATTACGGTTAAACTGTTCATCTTGTGATGCTATCCAAGAATCCAACCATTTTTCGAGGTCGCCTTGTGAGTGGAATCGCTTCTGAACCAGACCATGTGCCATTGAACGAAACAAATAGTAATCGGACGATGCAATATCTGAGCAATATTGCGGGTGAAATAGGACTTTGCATTAAAGCCTTTCCAGGTAGGCAGGTATACAAGTATAATATAATATTATGACCTGCTTATAATTAATAATTTTTTTAAGCTAGAAGTTGTCTGAAATTTGTAAGAAAAATCTCAAATTTCTTTATTTGTTTGATTGAAAATAAAACTCAAATTGTCTTTTTTCTTGAAGTTGTTTATTTTTTGCTTTATTTTTCATGATGTTTAGTGTTTTCGTTATGCCTTTAAAATTCTGCTTAATTTCGGTTATTTTTCTGTTAGTATGCGCTGCTTTGCTTTTTTGGGGGAGATCATTTGCTTTACGGTTTCAAATTTAGCATTTTGATAATTCAAATATTTTATTTTGTTTCTACATAATACATATGTACTCGGTTTTTTGTATATAATTTTAATCAATAAAATGTAAGTATGTATGTTTACAGTTATCTTTTTCTATGAGTGGTTATGTATTTCATGCACTCGCCTGTCATCAGAAGCGGTTAATATGATTAATTATTGAAAATGTTGGTTTATTTTTTGTTGTTGTGGCAAATTAAATTTTATGTGTTTCAATTAATTGCTTTTTGTGTGGCAGCAATTTGGTTTATTGATTGTTTTGAAAAAGAATTTAGTTTCATATAAAACAAATTATTTGCAAATAATAAGTGTTGCATGCGTTGTTGTTGTTTTTGATTTTTTTTAATGAATTCTTCCTGTTAAAATGGTTAGTAGTTGTTGTTGCTTTACGGCGTAATTCATAATAAAATGTAATGTTTTGCAAAATTTTCGGTTAAAGATTCTGTAAGAGTTTGTTGTTGTTGTTGTTTTTTTACGTTTACTTAATAGATATTCTTTTCAATAGCTATGGCATTGTTTTGAGCTACACAAAAACAATGTATTTGTTACTGTAATTATTTTTGAAATCTTTTGAAATAATTTCTTTTGTATATTGGTTTGTTTGTATGTGTGCGTGGGAGTGTTATTTCAATTTACAGTTAAATAAAGAAAGATTATTATTTTAGGTTCAAGAAACTTAGCGGCGCGACCTTTGACCTTTTACTTAGCAAAGTGCTAATTTCACAGTGGCAAAGCAAAAAAATGCAGCAAAGAAATATGCACGCACACAAGCACATAATTGCTTGCATGTTTGTATTTGTTGTAGCTTTTCTTTTCATTGTTTTTCGTTGGCTATGAACTTTATTTCTATTGTTGCTAACTTTTTTCTGTTGAGCGGTAAGGGAGAAGTGGCGTTAAATTGCAGGGGTTTCAATTTTTCAATTTCTTCTTCTTTTTATTTCTTTTTATTTCTTTTTTCTTCTTATTTATTTATATAATTTTATTTTTTATGTATACTTTTTTTTTCAAAACTACTATTTGCATTCAATGTACAGCTTAAAAATTTCCTTAAATCCATTTGCTTTAGTTAAATACATATGTATGTGGTTGTTGTTGTTGTTTTTTTTTGCAAAACGGTGATTTCTTTTAACTAGTTGTGTATGTATTTTTTTTTTTTTTTTGTTCAAGAACACTTTTTATCATTGCATATAATACATACTCGCTTGTATGTGTGTGTGTATATATGTAAATGTGTTTTTTACTGCTAACTCTACTTTCTTTCGTTAAAATGCACACTCAAAGCCTGTATATACATACCTGCTTATGTATTTCATTTACTATTTATATATATATATATGTATGTAGTTGTATGCATGTATAAATGTATTTAGTTGTAAGTATGTATATTTATGTAGAGCGTGTCTGAATGTATGTATATATGTGTTTGTGATTTTTAAATTTTTATATAACTACAGCATATGTTTGTATATATTGCATATATGCTAGAATTTATGTATGTATATGTATATAGTATATATAACGCCAATTAAATTATTTACTTAATTTTTTTTTTACTCGCAACTATTTTTTTTTTTTAATATGTGCACAGTAATTTCATTAAAATCGCAAATATTTTCGTCAACTTATTGCATTGTTTTTGTTATTTGTTTATTTATATATTTTTTTCATTAAAATTCTCGCGCTTTCTTATTTACACGTGTATTTATGTATATTTGAGAGCAATAAAACTTTCTTTGCTTAATTTTGTGGCATAATTTTTAATTACATATTTTTCTTTTTGTTGTAATAAACTGTTAAGTTTCTGAAACACATATTTTGCAATATTAAAAAGTTTCTTCTTAAAAACTCGTAATTTTATATTAATTTTTCAATTTTAATGCTAATTAAAATATTTTTTTTTACATTATATATGCTGTTATACATATATGTACATATGTATGATTTTTGCTTTGTAAAGTATAATATTTTAATAAAAAACTTTTTAGCATAAATATAAATTAAAATACATAAATAGAAAATAATTCGAAAAATACATATAAGAAAAATTATATAAATGCAAAAAAAAATTGTAATTTTTAAAATAAAAAAAATATTTCAATATTAGCTGGCATTGAAATAAATGTGTATTCATATATATGTACACATTTTTGCTATAAAGCACCTTAAAAGTGTACATGTGTTAGACTTTCTTTAATTTATTACTCATTTAACACATAAATCTTTTACCAACATCACACACGAGTTGCAATTGTATGCCTTTTAGTATTACATACTATTTATGTATTTGTATGTATATTTATTTTCGCGTGAGTGTAAAATTTCTTCTGATTTCTGATACAGTTTCCATATCGAAGGCGAAATTGTAATGTTGCGCTTTTAAAATCATTTATTTAATGATATTAATATTTATATTGCATGTCTCGTATATGTATGTATGTGTGTGTGTGTGTAAGTACATACACATGTTCTC